GAAATACCTCGAAGCGCCAGTATCCACGACCTATTCAGCATTGTTCTCCACCAAATTCACTTTTGAAACCACCGTTGCGATGATATTGTCAGCATTCTCCTCTTCAATGTTTAGTTGTGGTCTATTCACGTTCTGGTGGTCGGAACGATGTTGGCACTAGTAAGCTTTCTAACAAGCTAGTTCGCATACATAACACTTGTCGGATTTTCCTTCAGTCTTGGATTTTCTCGATTTCTTGAAATTGGTGCCTTTTTGAGTTTTCATATTTTTCTTGTGATTCCCTCTTTTTGCGGTCTTTTTAAACTTGGACCCTAAGACAGTACCAAATTCAACCAATTTAGCTTTAAAAGACAATTAACAAATAGAGTTACTAACCTTATCCTTTAAACGGTTAACTTCCTCTATCTTCAAATGATCCACTAGCTCCTCAAGTGAAATGTCTCTCTTTTTATGTTTGAGGGTGTAATACCCCAAATTTGGTCTAGGGACTAAATTCTAAGTTTTGAATGTTTAGTGGCTAAAGTATAAACTTTGAAAAGTTTAGGGACCAAAATTGTAATATTTAAAATTTATATATTTTATCCTATAAATGAACAGTTTGGATTAAAACAAAAATTTTAGTGGGAATCAAATTCCTGGTACAAGATTTTTGTTAAAAACTATAAAGTGGTAAAGTTTGGTATTGAAATCGGATATTCGAATCGAACATGAATTTTATGAAAATTTGAAGGATACTAGAAAATAAATGGAAATATTAGTTTCATATTTTATATCAGAGAAATTTGGCTTAGAACAGTGCAATTTTTCAGATTTGACTGAAATAGTTGAATTTTAGTGACTAAAATGCAATCTTCAAAAATTGCATGGCCAAAGTGAAAAGTCAAAGCTAAGTTGATTCATATTTGACCGAGGAATATTTTAATGGAGAATATGACAATGGAAATTGGTAATTGGTAATTTTTAAGTTTCATTAATGGCAAAAATGGAATTTCCTAATAATTGAATAAAAATTCAATTATATTATTCTTAAGCCATGTGTTGAGATATATTTATTATTATAATAATCAAGAAACTTGATCATTTTCAGCAACAAACTCTCCAAGGGCCGAAACTTGAAATTCTTAAAGCTATTTACATGATTTTTGAGTTTAGCTATTAGATAGAGAATTAATCTACACGAAATTCTTTATCATTTGGTACCAAAATTTATTGGTGAAGATGATTGTGTAATGAGATTTGATGATTTTGGGTTTTGAAGAGTTTAGTGATTTTAAAGAGTTGTTGAAGGATTTTTATGTTTTTAATGTTAGTGATGATTTTTATAGCATGTACAATAGTTAGAATTAATTGTACATGTGTAAATAAGATTTGGACATGTTAGGGTTTATGAGAATGATGAGATTTTGATTCAATTTGATATTGTGATGATTGGAAATGCATGAATTTAATCATAGGAGGTTGAATTCATACTTGAATTTGAACAAAAAGTCCCCCTAGGTAACTTAAATGTATTCGGCCATAGGGAAGAAAATTAGGGAAAAATTTTGAAACTTTTCCTATGGATTAGAAATTATATGAGAAGTATTCTATGTTGTTTGGATATTGATTTGGATCAATTTAGAACCTTAAAAGTGCAAAAGGGTTAGTTTAAAAGTTTTTGGAATTATGGGATATTATTGTAAGATTGAAATACTTGAAGGATTCAGTGTTGATTTTGATATTTGTAATGCTGGAATTTTAGTTGGAAAGTTGCTTGAAAACCAAATTGCAAATTTAGTAAATCTTGAGGTGGAATTCGAATGGTCCCAAAACCTTGGGGACTTGTTTGCAAGTTCTTAAATGTAGAAGTATTATATTAGTAAATTTTTAAATGATGGAAAATTTATTAGTATGCTGAATTTTGAATTAAATATTGGGTTGGGGTTGAATTACAAATTTATAAAGTTAGGTAGTTGAAAATCGAAAGTTAGGAAAGATTGAGTTGAAATTATAAATGTTTGGAATGTTGAGGTATTGATTTGAGAATTTTATTAAAGTGCTGGAATTTTTATAATTAATGTGCAATAATTTTAATGGTGAATGACCATTAAGAACTAAATGGAAAGGTTTTTTTTTTTGAAAAAGGGTACCTTTTATTGATTAATAACAAAGTACATCACCCCAAGAGCCTCATTAAAAAACCTCCCTAAACCTATCGGAGGAAAAAGAGTGTACCTTGAGGTGATACGAGAATACAGTCAGAAGGGCCATAACGCTATGACCCAAAACACATACCGCATCTAATTCCTATAATCTGAACCATAACAAAAAACCAGCAACCACACTATAACCTGTAAGCAAGTAAATACATACACATATGAAGTAACAAAACAAAAGGTTGCAGCAACCTGCTGAAACAAAACAATGGAAGCAGAAAACCAACATAGCACTATTGGACAAATAAACACAGCATAACATCAGAAGCCTTCAATCAAGAGCGATGGACTCGGGGCTACGAACAAAATCCTGCATATATGGAATCAATGTAGGCCAATAGATATTTGACCAGACCCCTACCTGAAATAAAACTTTAGTAAAGATCTGATCCACTAAAAAAGTGACACCCTTGAACCGAGCTTGATTTTTGCATAACCATATTACCCAAATCAGTCTAATAAAACCCAGCTGCCATACCGAACGACCACGCTTCCTAATTCTTTGCGAGAACCATACATGTAGCAATTGTTTTACATTCTTTGGGATTACCATGTTCACTGACCACACCTTGTACCATCGTAACCATACTTGCCAAACAACTACACAATGACATAAAACATGGTTAATAGATTCCGATTCACAATTACAAAACACACATTCGGACTGTTCTATACTCTTAACTCCTATCTTTTGCAACTTTGTAGTAACTAGTATCCTTAGATGGACTATTTTCCACACAAAAACAACAACTTTAGGTGGATCGAACTTGAACCAAACCAATTTCCATATAGGGTCTTCCGACTTACCACGATATTCCATCTTAACAGAAAAATCTTTCGTTGAATACTTGCCATGTGACGCAGCACTCCACTTGAGTCGATCCTTACCCGAAAAAGAACTAACAACTTTATTCAGAACATGTAAAAAATCAGACCATATGGACTTTTCCCAATCAAAAAGAGATCGTCTCAGCTGAATAGACCATTCCCAAACTCCGTGATGCCACCTACCAAGCTCAGAAATCATACCGAATTTTCTAGTTGCAATAGCATAAATTCTCGGGAATGAGTCTTTAAGTGAGTTCAAATCAGTCCATCTATCCATCCAGAATTCAATCTTAGAATTTTCACCCATAACACACTTTAAATCAGAAAGAAGATCCACCTCATTTGAAATAATGAGATTGATAATGTCTTGCCACACTCAAGACGAATTCCTATTGGAAACTGCTTTTGGAAGAATCAAAGCACTATCGTAATTATACTTTACAACTATAATTTTCCTCCATAAGCTATCAACTTCCTCGCTAAATCTCCAAATCCATTTATTCAGCAAATCACGATTCCTAATTTTGACGTCGAAAATACCCAAACCCCCATGCGACTTCGGCCCACGGACGTTATCCCACTTAATCCAATGAATACTCCTCTCCGAATTAGCATTCCACAAAAATTTAGATATGCATTTGTTTATAGATTCAGCAATAGCAATGGGAATGGGAAAATGGATATAAAGTACACCGATAAATTCACCAAGACTAATTTGATAAGAGTAATTCTACCACCGAAGGAGAGGAGTTTACCTTTCTAACTTTGAAGGATATTCCTAACTTTATCCAATATGGGTTGCCAAATGGACTTAGAATTTTTCTTCTGACCAAGCGGAAGCCCCAAATAAGTCAAAGAAAGCTTTGCCGAAACACACAATATCTTATATGCCCAACTCTTCACAATGCTCTCATCCATATTGATCCCAAACAACATGGTCTTTTTCAAATTTAACTTCAGCCCGGCTGCCATTTCAAAAAAATTTAGCACACGATTGAAATTTAAGATTGATGACTCTTTTTCTTCAGAAAAAATGAGAAAATCGTCGACAAATTGAATATGGGATAACACAACCCCACCGGCTCCAATTTCCACCCCGCTACATAGCCCAATCTCGATTGCCTTTAAAAAAAAGCTACTAAGCGCCTCACCAACAATATTAAATAAAAATGGCGATAACGGACAGCCTTGATGAAGCCCCCTCTTGATAGAGAAATAATTTGACGGACATCAATTTACTAACATTGCAATCATAGGTGACGAGATGCACATTTTAATCCACTTCCTCCATCTTCTACCGAAACCCATCTTCTTAAGGATCAATAACAAAAACCTCCAGTCTATAGTGCCGTAAGCTTTACTGAAGTCTGCCTTGATCAGAACAGCTGATTTCTTACTTTTGTACAACCCATCAATGACTTTGTTTGCTATTAAAGAATAGTCTGCTATTTGTTTGCCAGCAATAAAAGCGAATTGATTTTTGCCTATAAATTCCGAGATACAGGATGCCATTCTCTTGGTCAAGACACGTGCAATAATTTTGTACAAGCTACCCACCAAAGATATGGTTCTGTAATCTTCAAGAGAGATAGCCTTAACCTTTTTCGGAATAAGGGCAATAAAAGACTTGTTGAAAGAAAAATCGGTAATTCTACCCCAGTAAAAATCTTCCATAAAGGACATAATTTCCCCATTAATATCATTCCAAAATCTTTTAAACAAGTCTAAATTAAACTCGTCCGGCCCTGGAGCTCTCAACCCATCTGACGATTTGATTGCTAGCCAAACCTCCTCTTTCGAAAAAAGAGACTCCAAAAAACGACGAGAATCAGGATTTAACCTCTTCAACGAAGCGTCAAAACTCTTCAGAGGAATGGTCATATCCTCATTATATCCAGCCAGGAAATAATCAACAAAAACGCGTTGAATTCCAATCTGACTCTTGAAAACCGAATTTGAGACCTGGATTTTCAAAATCTAGTTGGTTCGGCCTCTAGAGACCGTAGAGAGGTAGAAATACTTTGTGTTTTTGTTGCATTCTTTAAACCACCGGAGCCTTGATTTTTGCAACCATTCACGCTCTTCCTTCCTTAAAACAGCCCACAAACACGGCTTCAACGAGATAATCTCGGACAGATCTGAATTGCTTCTTGAATTCGAAATAACTCTATTTTCAAGAATATCTAACTTCTTACGAATCTCTTCCACAGAGTCAGGATTGATCTGCCTGACTTCTCTTTCCCTATCCTTTGTCGCTTTCTTAACCCACTCAAGAATTTGTGATAAACCAAGTCCTTTATTCACTGCACATAATCTTTTAATTTTTTCTACAAGGATATGATCATCCTCCCAATGCTTGAACCACTTGAAAGGCCCGGAAAACTTTTTAACACTATTATCTTTTAAAATGATCGGCCTGTGATCGAATAAACCCCTAGGAAGAGAAGATTGAGTGAGTAGAGGAAACATACTGGCAATGTCAGTTGAAACTAAAAACATATCGTGCCTACTCTCCACCATCTGATCCCCACCTCTGAACCAAGTAAACTAACTACCTGTTACTGGAAACTCAATTAACCCCCAAGCATAAATAAAATCCTCAAACAAACACGTAGCAGCCGATTGTTCAAAAGACCTAACTCTTTCAGACTCCGATCTAACAACGTTGAAATCACCCCCAACTATAACAGGGATATTTAAGACAGCAATAACAGAATTCAGTTGCTCAAAAAAATCTCTCTTATCTCCTTGCACGTTTGGTTCATACACGCTAATAACACCGATCTCCTTGTTATTAATAACCATATATCCTTTAATGGCTAATATTCTTCTTAAAACAATTTGGTCAATAATTCGGATAGCATTACAATCCCATAATGAAATAAGGCCACCTGAAGCACCAACTAAATGGAAAGGTTGAGGTGAATTCTAAAAATAATTCATAACTTGTGGCTTATTTATGTAAATTAGCAAAAGACGAATGGTTAAGGATGAAAATAAAATATTCATGGATTTGTGTGAGTATTTTGAGAAGTTAGAAGTTATAGTGGATATATGATTTAATGCGATATCGTTTTAATTTCAATTTTAATTTATAATTTTTTAAATGTTAAAATTAGCTTATACGATACTAATATGTAGTTCGAACACTTTGTTTATTATTTGGTATTGTCAGACCACGATAAATCTAGCAATCTGGACGATTATAAGTAAAAGAAAAAGCACATGATTAGGAATATCACGTAATGGGTACTATAGTGAGGCAAAAGTGAGTGTAGTTTATTTATTTAATTATTTTGATCGAGGAAGACTTGCGATAAGTCAACCTCATTCCAATTTACAGTATGATTTATAAAGCTTATAAAGAATGTTTTTATAATACTTTATATAAGTTTTATGAATGATTTAGGGTATGAACTGCCCAAGCATGATATTTTTTTATGATAGATTTATTTATGATACATGAGCCCATTGTATGCGTAATGAGAATTGTTGGTACACTTGGCATGTCATTAGTTGAGTACTTATCAATTATCAGTTTTGGTACATTCGTGTATCAATGTTATCAGTTATCATATAAGCATTTGTACATTATTGTACCAATGTCCAGCACCATTGGTGTTCAGGTTATGATTGCAGTAAAGTGCATCATATCTCATTATCAGTTATGATTTGTACAGTGTGGTACATAGTGCACACCTTACTCACGCATCTTATTTTCTCATAAATATACATTGCGCTATGAAATGAATATGAAAGTTGTGAATGATTTCCAGTTGACAGAAAACATGATATGATTATTTTATCAGATATTGTATACCAGAATTTTTATGAGTTCATGACTGAAAAGAAATTTCAGGTCTTAGTGAAGAAAACGACTTGGATAAGTTGGTTTGCCAGTTTAATGTTTTAATTCGAGCTATTTTATTTATGTTTATGATAATTTCAAAATTTTCTCACCTTAAATTACTACTATCTCACTAAGTTATACTTAGCGCGTGATGATTTTTATGTGTAGGTTCTAATAAAGATAAGTACGAGAAATAAGGAGTCACCGAAGCATCTTTTTGGAAAGACATACATATCATCATTATCAGTAAGGCATCTAAGATGTTACTTTTGACTTTTAGTGGCATGTATAATTATGTAAGTAGTTTCTATTTATAGTATTTATTTTAAATGGTTTGTAATAATAAACTAGAACTATTTTAGTTTATTTTATTTAGTTTAGTTTTATTAGTATTTATGCATGAAAAGAATATATTATATTATTATGTTTTTAAAACATTCACGAAAAGACATGAATTGGTATAATCATTGGTTAACAAATGGATTTATTTTTCTACGACAAGAATTCATTTATAAGATAAGATATTCATAAAATATATTTTAAAGTTAAAAATAGAAATGTTTTAAAATGAAAGAATTTTTAGGCAAATTTCAATTCAGTAAATGTTTTATGAGTTGATATGACATCTTTGAATCATATATCGAGATGTATATGAGTCAAGGGTATTACATTTATTGGTATCAGAGCTATAGATTTAGTCAATTTTTGGCTTAAACCGAGCCTATTTTATATCAGAAATATGTGCATGCCACTAGGATGTCGAAATTACTGATCTGATATGGTCTGATGATTTTATTTAGGATGTTGCTCCTTACTAATGCAATGTTATGTGTTTGTGGTTAGATGTCGAATGCAGAGGGCTCTAGAAAAGCTACCGAACATGAGGTTCCTGAGGGAACCGATAGTGGAAGTAGTAATGAGGTTGATCAAGAACCTGAGCAGCAAGTAGCACAAGCACAACAAGGGATGCCAGCTCTAGATTAGGGAACTTTCTTACAAGCTTTTGAGGCTATATTGGTAAGATATCAGCCAACTATAGCACCTCCCCTTCCTCTGCCTCCACCTCCTGCTCCTCTAGCTCCGAGAGTGTCAATTACTAAAGAATTAAAGAGTATGAGAGCTTCTGAATTTAAAGGTGAAGCAAATGAAGGCCTGTTTGTGGCAGATATATGGTTGAATGGTGTGAAGATTAAGTTGGCAAATCTTCATTATTCTTATGAAGAACGATTGTAAGGCGTAGTTTCATTGCTGAGAGGACAAACCAGGATTTGGTGGACAAATGTTACGACACGTGTCCCTTCAGATCAGATTTCTTGGCAGTTTTTCTTAGAGGCTTTCCAAAATAAATATATTGGATAGCAATTTATTATTAAGATGAAGCAAGACTTTTTCAATCTGATCAAGGGAAACATATATGTTTATAAAAATGAGTGCAAGTGTAATAAGCTCGCCCAATATGCTTCAGAAATGGTCCCCCACAGAGATAGATGTATGCCAAAATTTTATTCGAGGTCTTTACCCTAGACTGAGGGAACTTTTGTTGGCTTCCAGTCTAACTACCTTTCAGGAAGTGGTATGTAACACCCTCAGACCGATGCGGGTGACCCGATCCGATCTGAGGTGTCATAGATCCACAGTAAAAATCTGGGAAAATTTAAAATTTTTGTTAAAACGTGTAAAATAATAAAACAATTTAAATTTTAAAATACAAGTTCCAGACTCAGTATAAAAATCAAATGTGACCTACATGTCCCCCTAATCACATACACCGTACTCCGCAAGCAACTCCAGTGTAACTCTTTTACTGATGTCGATAGCTGCATTGGTTCGATTCTTTTAACCTAAAATGGTGAGTAAAACATGTGAGCTTTGGGAAACTCAGTAATACAAAACTATCAAGTGATGCTGAAGGACATGCAGATAATAGGCAAGCATAAAAAAATTCCTTATCGAATCAGACATCTACATGTTTTCGGGATGAGCTATGGTTTCACTGATATTTCTTCGAATAAAAGACATGAAGATTCTATTTCAGAGGACCAAATTCAGGAGATCAGAATAGGATGTCTAGTGTGTTTTAATAAAACTGAGTAACGTATATAAATCCTTTAAAACATATTTTAAAAACATTGTAATACCCTCCAACCAAACACCGTCTGCAATTCCTCAGAACTACATCCATAAGGACTTACCCTAAGCACACAACAAAGGAGCAACCGTAAAGGAGTACCTTGGGGCCTATAGGTCTACCCAAGAGTCTCTTTAGGTCCATAAGGATTTACCAACTTGATCAGAGATGAATCTCCATACTCCAAAATCCTACCAATACAATATCCAGTATAAATCAGATTTAACAGTAAACTGTTATATCAAGATCGTGATCTAGTAAAATCTCATAAGGGTAATAATGAAATAAACCACATAATTACCATCCACCCGTACACCATATGTAGTCTCGTGATTTAACCAAATGAAGTGCCTTGGGGTCTGAAAGCCTACCCAAGAAAGTTTCTCGGGGCATCAAAGCCTACCTAAAGGTCACATTAGGTCTGTAAGGATTTATCAGCTTGATCAGAGCTGAACCTCCATACTCCATCCTACCCAGATAATGTCCCAATAAAATAGTTCAAGTAGTAACCAGTAGATTTCATGATCCATAAATCATAAACGATTATATTTTTCAGTGAAAATAGGAAACCAGATAACACATTTAAGGTAAGCATAGTTAATAAACCAGTAGATTCCATAATCCATAAATCATGAACGATTATATTTTTCTAGTGAAAACATGTAATTAGAGGACGTATATCATGTAGCCATAGTTTAGTTAAAAGTAAATCAAAACATTAGTAAATCTGTAATTTCAAAAAAAACATGTTTTAAAACATGTATAACAATTATATGTCACATAGGGAACACACTAGAGGATTTATTTATTCTTCGGAGGTACTTGGTATTTATTAGATAAGGAACCATGAAACTTTTATAAATTGATAGGATTTTAGAATCAAGTTATCTATAAAAAAAAAGGGTTTGATAGCTGACGGATTCATCAGTCATTCGCTTATTTTTGTAATTGATTGTTACCAGGAAGGAAAAAACGTATAACTTTTGTAGATTTGACAGAAATCATATTTGAGGTCCCTATAAAAAGGGTTCGTTCATTAGAAAATCTAGTCAACATTCGGAAATTGATGTTTCAAAAATTCATTTAAGATTCAAGTGTATTAAATAGGTACTCATGAACCTTTACATCAGAATTTTTGAAGATCTAGATATAACATGAGTGTTCCCATTATTCAGGAAAACATGGATATTTTGGACATTTTAATTTCTGATGGATTCTTAGGAGTTTAATCCAATAAGGGTGAAACGATGATTCATGGTATTTAATATTCTTGTCGATTTATTAGTATATCGAGTCATCTCGAACTAAACAAATCACAACAATGTGATATATGTCAACCAATCAAATCGATGCGCTTCAAGGATATTCACACTTTAATATGACAACTCTTGTAGAACTGATCATTTTTAGAATCATCGTTGAATGGATCTTAGGGAGAGGAACATTTATTCTAATGGTATTTATTTCATTTCTGTATTGCAATGATATCAAGAAATGTCGACGTGCTTGATATGTGGTTCAAACCCTTAAGGGCAGTACAACATATATAAGTTCATCAACGTTTCCAGACTTATCCAAACCATCCGCTTAATTCTAGCTCATTGAGATTACTTGGGTCAATTAGTATTCAAGTTTATCCCTGTCACTTTAGAGTTTCTAGAGTAATTCAGTCATTTCAACAATTTAGATACATACAGTACTTCCATTTAGTTTAACTTGGTCATATAATATGGTCATTTGAATATCATAGGTTATTTTAGTTATTTCATAGGTCGATGACATTTCGGTAATTCTTTTCAATACAAACATGTTGAGTTAATCAATTGA